GGGGAGTTGAGATTATTAATTGTTGTTATTTATTGTATTTGATTTCATTGAATTATTCATAATAAACTTTGAAATTTGAAATAATCTGAAATGTAATTAGATTATTAATTGTTGTTATTAACTATTGTATTGTATTTGTTTTCATTGACTTAATAAAACTTAAAATTAAGAAATATTCTAAATGAAAATTAATTTATTGTTATTAATATTAAATAATAGTAGATGGTGACTGTGTTTTGGAATAATTTAAAAATGTTATTATATAAATTATAATAATAAATGACACTGTCGGGATTTCGATACTGTCGGGATTTTGATACAGACGGGATTTCGATATAGTCGGGATTATGGTTGTCGGGATTTCGAATGTCGGGCTTTCGATATAGACCCGATCTCAACATACACTGATAGTACTTATTTACTTACATTATACTATCTTATAATATAAAGACATATACATTATTTATAAAAGTATCTATAAAGTAAAAAACATGGCAAGGGGTCTACGACACAAAAAAGTTTGGGAACGTCTGCTGTAGATGGATAAAAATTCTCATTCACCTATATTTCGTGGCCCTAAAAACTGGGTGTGTCTTTAAACTGTGCCAAATATGCCTAATAGATAAGACGACCATGACGGGTGATGTAGGAAAAGTTTAGGTTAAAGTCATGCTTATATAAGACACGATTATATTAGACCCAATTAAGTTAAACAAGATTAGTCAACACGAAATGTCTTCAATAAATTGAAAGACATGGTTACGATAGGTTAGACAAGATTATGTAAGATAACTTTAGCTTGGACATGGTTAGCTCAGGACAGTTAGACAAAATTACGGACAAACTTATTTAAGACAAGGTTATGTCAGACGCGGGTGAGTTAAATTGGGATAGGAAAGGTCAAATGAGAATTGATTTGATAAACTTATAGTTAGTAGTATGATAAAGGTAAGTTTAAGCTAGAAATCACGTGGGTCCACAGCACTGTGCAAAATATGCCTAATGGGACCATATGGGCTTATATTTACTAACCCAATAATTATAATTTTAATAATGTTTCTTGTAATTATTATTTTTTTGAATATCAAAGTTTTGATATACTGTCGTGGCCAACCAATTTATTGTCATCTATTGTATAACTAATATGTATATTTGTTAGGGCCATGACTTTCCTCTTAATTATTTCAAATCATATTTAATGTATCCATCAAATATACAAACGGATACTTGTACCTGATTATTTAGAATAACTTGTGGAATATTCCGAACGACGGTTACACATTAAATCGTATATTTGCGTCTATTGCATCACCACTTAACAGCCTTCTGCAGCCTCTAAATATTTGGGCAGGATCATAAAACTTAGATAAAGAAACGGTTGTGTTTTCTACAAGGTCAAACCCTTACCTCCCACGCAGCCCCTTTTTTAAATGAACACATTTCTGTATTATATAATTTAGTCTTAGTTAGGGGAGCAAACTGAGAAGAAGTCTTAGTCAGGGGACCAAAGAGAGAGGAAG